TGCAAAGCTCTTTCCAAACCTTAACTTTTGCATTGGGCCTGCCCTTGCTTAGGCCAAGACCACGGGACAGCCAGAGTCCAAGCCATTGGCCGACTCAGCTGAAGCCCAGGTCCAGGTTTAAGTTTGGGTGCCCAGTGTTGCTGCCGTTTGGAAAGAAAAAAACTTGGGAGCTTACTACGTCTGGCAGCCAGGAGAATGACTGCAAGTGTACATGGTCTCCAAAAGTCACAAGACTTTTTTCCTAGGTTGAGAATTGAGAACCCAGGGAGGGGGTGCACTGCAAGCCAGAAGTGACATATTCAATAGCCTACCTAGACAACATGTTGGAAAACTCTTTCAGGCAAAAATCCACCATCGATATACATATATATACTTTGTCTTCCAGTTGTTTTCCAACTTTGGACCGTGCAGTGCAACTGGGGTAGAACCTTGGGACACTCAATATGCCAACAAATAGTTCCAGACCGCAATGACAAGAGTCCATCGTGCCAAAAGAACATGCTGACACACAGGCTTAATCTGCTACGGCCTGCGCCTGCTTTTGTTTTCCAACCGAAGTCGACAAAAAAAGTAAAGGTTTAGTTTTCTCACCCAAGACCAATGAATCCTAGGTATCTTGTTTTGTATCTCTGTATAGGGCTCAGCTAATTGTGGGTGAGAGATTCATCACAAAAAGGATGTGCCATGCAGCATGACGCATCAAGGCTTTTGGATTGCTGTGGCAATTTCGATCTTGGAGTTGACAATTGAAATCTCCCACAAGTGCTGTTCTTGGGTTGCATGCTTTCAATTATTGAAGCTTTTGGGCTCTCAGGGTGCATGGACACTGAGTGCCAAGGAGGGAAGAGTGAACAAGGCCAGGGTCTTTATTCAAATCCATGCAGGCCTCAGGTACCAAGTGGTGCTTGTCAAATTTTCATCTTGTTCAACTTGTTCTTGCGCAGCTCCTGCCAGGTTTCCGCGCCCCTTTTCATGGAAGCCTTTGAGACCCTGCTTGTGGCAGTGTGTCTGGCCACATTGCTGGCAAGAGAGCTGGTGGCTTCTCTTTGCAGCCATCGGGCAAGCAGAGTGATAAAGCATAGTAAAGCATGCCAAACCGACTTACTGACCTTTGAGGTGGAGCCGGCAAAGATTGCCCAAGCGCCACCAGAAGAAGTGTTAGTAAGTGCCAGTGGCAAATGCTACCATGTTGCCCACTGTCGACACTTGAAAAACACACTTGGGAGGCAGACGACAAAGTACAAGCGCTGCTTGCACTGTTTGGGGGGGTTCTAAATGCCACTGCTGGTGGCTGGTGGCCCTGCCGCTCTAGTGCCTGTTTGGTGATTGTACAAAAATTTAGGTTTTGCGAGTTAGAGAGAGTCTGGTGGCCGTTTTGCGCCCTGGTGTGCACAAATTTTGAGACAACGTCCAGCCTGTGCGCCGACTTAGCTAGTGGCACTGGCATGTTTCATGTTCTTGCAAGATTCAGTTGTGATAAATACAAATTTTAAAATAATCGTATAGAGCACATTGGCATGGCTTTGCTGGCACACAGCCGAATAGCTTGGACACTTTCTTGGGCTTTGGCTTCTGGGCCCAACAGCCAACTGTTGGCAAGAGCAGGAAAAATGCGTAAAGCCATTGCAGAATTGCTTGTGGGTGGCAACGGTGGAATGTTCTGCAATGCAATGAGCAGTTCAATGTTGGGGTTGTATGAAAGTTTTGTTTCAGGTTTCCCACCCCTTTTGATACATAGTTCTTGCACGCCCAAAACTGATGACGAGGCTCCTAGAGCTCACTCTTGTTTTCTTTAAGGTTTTTGGGTTTTGTATCTTTTCTGAGACACAGTTTCCCTGCGTTTGCAATAGGTGTTGGCACTTGGCCTGCGGTTTTCTTTGTAGGTTGTTTTTTTCATTGAGTTGTAGTGTGATTTTTTGAGTTAGTGGGAGAAATTCTTTTTGAAGGTCAAAATCAACGGTTTGCAACCGTGAAAATGTAGAACCGGTAGATGGGTTTGTGACAACCTTCCACATTGATGGCTACCTTAGGTCAGTCTTGATGAGACAGCAGAGCTCATGCTTGACGAGGAAGTGGAGGCTCGAAGGATCCTCTTGCAGACAGGAGCTTTGACCGTGAAGGCGGCCTACAGCTTCAGCAGTCCAGTGTTGGTCGAGCTTTTCTCTCCGCCGAGGTTGACAGACTATGCACAGAGGAGGGCGCTCGGACAAGGTCTCGCATTGGACTTGACAACCTGTGATGACCAAGGGGTTGCATGGGATTTTAATGTGAAAGAGCGGAAGGACAGTGCATCAAAATTAATCGAGAGTATGAGTCCAGATTTGTTGTTGGGATGTCCCCCATGTCGCATGTACAGCTTGCTTCAATACCTCAATCAACATAGAATTGACCAGAAGGTGTGGGACAAAGCAATGACAGAAGCAGAGAACCATCTTGAGTTTTGTGTTGAACAATATGAAGCCCAGATGAAGAGGAACAAATTTTTCTTGCACGAACATCCAGCATTTGCTACATCCTGGAAGTCGCCATCGATTGAACGCTTGAAAGATAAGGAGTGTTCCATGTTGTTGGCGACATGTGTGAGCAAGACATGCGTGTGTCGGATGAGCATGGTGAGGGTTTGGCCAAGAAGAGTACAGGTTACCTCACCAACAGTGAATGCATTGCACAGGAACTTTCCAAGCGCTGCTCAAATGATCCAGATGCATTGAGTGTTTTCAGGCAGGTTAACTTCAGTGCAACAAAGGGGCAGTACCCAGGCCAAGGGGGCCCATCTTGGGAACGTGTGCAGAGAAGGGTGACGTTTGATTTGACAAATCATCGTTTGTTGCAGGATTTGAGAGATGTTCATTCAGCCACAAAAGAAACGTTAGAATTCAGAATTCCATCACAATGCAAACAAGTTGAAACAGTTTTCTACCACATCAAACCAGGCAAGGTATGGCACAGACATGTTCCCCTTTTGGGGGGTAAGGCAAAGCAGTGCGAAGTGTACCCCAATCTTCTCTTGCGCAGTATCTTGAAGGGGCTGAGAAAACAGTTGAAGAAGGTGAAGCCAATGAGCGCACTTAGTTTTGGTCCAACGAATGAGGAAGTCGATTTGGACATTGAACTGGCACCCTCAGGTTTACAGCTTGCAGATGATTGGATTAGTTTTGTTGATGAGATTTCCGGCAAACCACTGTCAGCAGCAGGAGTGCGAAAGGCTAGGGCAGAGGAGATTGACTATGCTGTACGCTATGGTGTATGGGACACTGTACCCATAGCTGAGGCTTATGAGTATGACTCAAAAGGGCCCATCTCTTCTCGCTGGATTGACATCAACAAAGGAGACGAAGATCATCCTTCGTATCGTTCTCGCTTGGTCATCCAAGAGATCAGGCAGTCGCATATCGAGGCGGTGTTCGCAGCCACACCTCCCTTAGAGTCCGTGAGGATGCTTTTGAGTTTGCAGCGAAGTTGCACAGATCTTGATAGCAAGGGGAGGAGGAAGAAAGTTCTTTTTGTTGACATTCGCCGTGCACATTGGACAGCCCGTATATTCAGACGAGTGTACGTTAGACTTCCAGTGGAGGCGGGAAATTTGAAGGAACTTGTGGCCGGCTCAACAAGGCCATGTACGGTTGTCGTGACGCCGCAGCATGTTGGGAGCTTGAGATCACAGACTTCTTTACAACCAACGGGTTTGCCCCTGGCATTGGCAGCCCAGTTCTTTTTGTCAACACTACAAGAGACTTGAAGGTTTCGATACACGGTGATGACATTACAGTGTTGGGTTTTGAAGATGATTTGATGTGGCTTTACAAACAGATGGGCACAAGATATGAGATGAAGTTTGGGGGCTTGCTTGGACCAGATGAGACAGATGTTCAGAATGTGGCCATCTTGAACAGGCTTGTGCATTACGGTCCAACAGCAACAACATTTGAAGCAGACCCTCGACATGTTGAGATTATTTTGAATGAGTTAAATTTGACAACAGCCAAGACAGTTTCGTCGCCCGGTGTCAGCAGCTCCAATCCCGATGAAACATTGTTGACAGGTGCTGATATAACAAGGTACCGTAGCTTGACAATGAGGGCAAATTACTTGAGTTTGGACAGACCAGACATCGCCTATGCGACCAAAGAGTTGGCCAGAGGCATGCAGAATCCGACTCAAGGACATTACAACGGCTTGAAACGGCTTGCAAGATATCTTGGAGGACACCGGAGGCTCGTGTGGAGCTATGCGGAACAGTCAGAGCAAAGCAAGTTGAAAATGTTTTCAGATTCAGATGATGGTGGATGCCTCACAACAAGGAAGAGTACTTCAGGTGGTGCATTGATGCATGGGAGTCACTTGTTGAAATTTTACTCTTCAACCCAGCATGTGATCAGCTTGAGTTCAGGAGAATCAGAGTTTTACGCAGGCATCAAAGCTGGGAGTGTTCTGTTGGGTGGTATTGCAACAATGCAAGATTTGGGTTGTGAGTTTTCAGCAGAGTTGGTGTTTGATGCATCTGCCGCGAAGGCTATGCTTGGAAGACGTGGTCATGGGAAGGCCAAACATATTGCACGATGTTTCTTGTGGCTGCAACAGAGGATTCAAGATGGTGATATTGTGTTGGGAAAGTGCGGCACCAGTGTAAATCCAGCAGATTTGGCAACCAAACATCTGGATGGTGCTCGCATCGTAGATTTGCTTGAGTTGATGAGCCTTAGATTTGAAAGTGGCTCACACTCGATGGCATTGAAGGCCTGACATGCGGATGGCGGTACCCGTACAGACCGACCATCCGAGGGGGCCTGTCAAGGGTTGAGGTCAAGGCCTTATGGCTATGATCATGTATAGTACCTGTACCGACCGATAGCCGTGAAAAGACCGCAAACGGTTTCGCAAAATCATCACGAAAGCCTGGGCGGCTGGCAAGCCGCTGGGCTTCTTTCCATGAAAATGGTTCATTCCAAGTTAACCTCTTACATCACGAGTCAAAAGGGAGGGATTTCCATGGCCCGCAGGCTGCTTGCAGTGTGGCCATGGCTTCAGTGGAGGAGCGCGCACAGGAGGTGAGGTTGGGTATGCATCTAGCAGAAGTGGGGAAACTAAGGATTTAGGAGGGGGGTTCACTCAAATCAGGGTCACATCGTGGAAGTGCTTAGATGGGCGGTTTGCCAATCAACATCGATGAAGCTATTCCTCCACCTCTTCCGGAGGTGAAAGAGCTGGGAGAAAAGCTTGCTGCCGCTGAGGCAGTGCGAGTGGTATGACAGGAGACAGCGAGAATTTGTGGTTTGTTGACGATATGAAAAAGAGCACCTGCTTAGAACGCACCACATGTGTACATATTTGTGGGTGGTGTGCATCATTATATTTAGATATATTTAGTATATGTTTTTTTTGTTTTCATTAAAAAAACACAGGAAAAACATGGGAGTTTGGAGTTTCCTTAAAGTACTGTATTTGGTTGTGCCACTGTCACCGGATCGCACAAGAGAGCTTTGACGCAAACCTGTGATACCGTTTGTAGACATGCTCTATACTATACTATATAATCACTAATTAGTTAATTAGTCAGCCTGGAGCAGATGAATTCAAGACATTTCAAAGCAACTTTTCGATTGGCTAAGATGATACAACAAGCTAAAGGGGGGCTTAGCAAGAAGCCAAGAGATGCACCTAACTTTGTTGCTTGTTGCTAGATACCAATCTCTAAATTGTATCATGGCCCTAGCAACAAAGCTTGGTGCTTCTGAGCAACTTGCCGTTCGAACAAAGGCACCAAGTTCGATCAAGCACGAGCTTGATCATTTCTGCACGGCAGAAATCACGGTCAATGCTGCGTACTCGTACTGTTGCTTTGATGTGCTTTGGGCAGAGATCACAGTCGAATGTGAATCACCATTTCCAGGTGTTTTGGCACTTTGAGACCAACTGTGATAGACTCATGATGATCCATCTCCGGACGACTCTGGTGGGGACGGCGAAAAGCACGTGGTCGTAGTCGCAGGCGCAGGGTGTGCAGCATTTGGAAGACTTGGCGGCTGCAAGGGCTGGCGGGGCCGAGGCGGCCGCTTCCGCGCCGAAGGGTTCGTCGAGAAGAGGGGGGGGGTCAGGTCGGGCCAATTAAAGGAGCGCCGATGCTTCAAAGACAGGGATAAAATCATAGAAAATCACATGAAGACGAGGAAACTAAAGACCTGCGGGCGTTTCAAGATCTGGATATGGAACGAGAGGCTTTGGATCTCCTTCCAGAGGTAGGAGAGGCTAGAGAACATGTGATCGCCGTCCAAAGGACCTGCAAAGGCCAACTGCATTTGGTCGACCGCATGTGATCTCCTTCGGGCTCCGCACAGGTGAAGCAACTGCAGGACGGCGCGTTTGTACGGCTCCAGACCGCTGGGGTTTGCAAAGGTAGCACGAGCACGGTGGCGTCCGACAACAGAGAATTGACTTGATGCCAATTCTGCCAGGAAGAGTTGACAGCAGCCCGTGCTGAAGTTGCAGACTTGGTGACAGAGAAGGAGCAGGGGCCTGCCACTGCCACTGACCATTAGTGATCGCGGGCGTTTCAGTATGAAGAAGATCCCAAACTGAGGGGATTTTGATTTCATTTTGGTTACTGTATGTATAGTAAGTTGGCAGCACTTAGAATTTCTTGGAATATAAAGAACTTCAGATTTCTTGAATTAGTCAACTTACTATAGCCATAGTTTTGGATTTTGTGGATCTATTCAACTCGACTCTATTCTGTTCATCAACTTCCTCACCTGGCCCAGAAACATTCCCCCCGAGGTGCCGACGTTGACTTGTTGCACTTCCGGACGAATTGCCAGCTGCCGCAAGCTTCTGGGTTCAAGATGACTGGTTAGCCCAATAGCCCAAAAAGCTCGTGCAGGCGGGAGAGAGCGAGAAGAACGAGCGAGCCGACACGAGGGATCGACACGAGGGATTGTGATGGTGAAGTCATCCAAAGTCTGTATCGAACGAACTCTAGAACCTGCTTGGCTTGCGGCGCCTGACACAAATCCGAGACAAAAAACCACGAAAAGAACATCTGGACCGACTCTGACATGGGGTGCTCCCCCAAACACTTAAAAAACACCTCCAATTTGACCAACACCTTGGAGATGTGAAATCATCACACTTTGGTATAGAAGAGTAGAAGAGTGGCGAATATGCTGCTGACTCAAAGCTTTCTAGTCTTTCGAGAAAGGCCTTTTGTGTCCAACCCTGTCAGAATCAGTTCCCAAGAATTCCACATGGAAAAGAAACACCATGAAAAACAGTCCTGCAATCTCATGTTGGCAGATTACCATCTCTTCGTGTGTGTCAAAGGCCATGATCAGACCGGGCACCTCCTTAACTAAGCAAAAGCAAAAGCAGCGGGTGCGGGAGCTTTGACAAAGCAGAGGGAGGAAGAGGGAAAGGCTCAATGAAGGACATGCCTTCGGTCCCGTGCGTTTTTGGGGATCACCTCAGTCCCAATTTCGCTCGGCCCATCAAGAACCAAGACCTCGGCTTGAAGTGTGGCTTACCTTTGCTTGAGAGAAGGTCTAGCATGGATTCCTTGGCTCGGATGACTTGGTCCAAGCAGATTTCTAGGATGGGTAAGCCAAGTTGCTTACCTTAGGATGCTCGTCCCGCTGCCGAAGCGAACCCGATCTCCCGAGCTCCCGAGGCGGTCGCTCCAAAGGTCGCCGTGGGAAAGAAGGCCGAGGCCGGGGTCGCTGGGCATCGGTCTGGTCGCTGGGCGAAGGTTCTTGGATTTTTGGTCAACAGTTCTTTTTCCTTGTCACAGGAGGGGTTGTTGGCTTGCAGGGGTTGCTCAGAGGATTTGGCGCCACGGAGATGCTCGGCGAATCTGAACTGGATATGTTTACATACCTTTTCTGGCAGCGTTTGACCTGGCAGAGACTGGGCCCATGAAGGAAGGATATCATGTATATAAATGTGACTGGTGCGAGATGTTGGTTCATTCCATTGGTGAGTGTTTGGGGTCAGATTTATGCTCCACAGGCGGCGCGGCCTTTGCTGGAAGATTTCCTGACGGCATGCGACTACGTAGGCCGAAATGGGTGGGGAACAGCCTGCGGAAAACACCTGGAATGTATCTTGTAAACGGATGTAAACGGATGTAAATGGCAGTTTCTCCATGTTGGTCTCTCTCTCATTGCTGCAACAGGTGCCATCACACTCCTTGAATTTGAAAGGAAGGCGCGGGAGGAGCGAGGAAGCCACCGACCGCCACTGGCGGTGTCCGCCACGTTTGTTGTGTTTGTGACAGCTGCAGGACCGGCCACATTTGCTGATGTGGTTGGCCTATTGCTATTTTCACAACGGTGACTACAAAAAGGCGATTGACGCCTATGATGATGCCATGAGAAAGGCCGGTTGGATGCTAAGAGAGGGACAAACATCACATGCTGGTTGGGCGTTGGGAGGGAGATCTATCTCATTTTCCTGCCAGGAAAATGATTCCAACATCTATGCCTACAAAGCCTGCTGCTACTATGCCCTTTGCCAATATCAGGTGGGTGCCTCAGAATTGGGCATTGAACGACTCCGCGCGATGCGCCATCTAACGGCTCTTGCTGGTGGGAAACCCATGCCCAGGAGGCCGAGGATGAAGCAGCAAAAGCTCCAGATAGTCAGCTCAGGCGCTTCATCCGGTGGTGTTTCCCGGTGTCTCCCGCCTGAATCTGGCATCCATGAAGCCCTGGGTGGTTCTCTCTTTGCAGTTTTGTTTTAACTGTATGCTTGTTGGATTCCTGATCCTCCTGCCACATGCTTCTGAGATTCTGTGGAGGTTTCAGCCTTTTTCCTTTTTTAGATAAACAGCAGCTGCTTGCCCGCCTAGCTTCCGCCGCAGTTGCCTCCGTCCAGTTCCGTCCTCCCAGGACGCGAATCCTCTTCCATACGGCGCACAAGAGGAATGACGAGCCTGCCATGATGAGCCACCACCAGGCACCCACCTTCACAGATTCTCCGAAAATGGGCCCCGCACACAGGGCCTCCGAAAATGGCTAAAGCTCGTGTCAGTGGATTTAGGCCAAGCATTGGAATCATTGGAACTGGTTTTGGGGAAGGGTATCCTCCAACAAAAATTAGGAGAGTGAGATGGTTTGGAAAGGCAGCTCGTCGATCATGTATGGTTTTCAAGTTTTCAAGACCTGGTTTAGGTTTAGACTTATAGGATGGCTCAGCCAACCAGATCTACATTTGGCACCTCGACCTGCCGAAGGGCCCCGAGGTCTATAGCCCATGCCATCTCCGCCTCTCCGCGCGTTTGTACCACGCGCCGACCCCTCTGAAACCACCGTCGCGTTCAACGCGTCGCGTTCAACGCGACTCGAAGGCGTTGACCGACTCGAAGGAGGATCAGCTTTGCTTGGCAGCGATCCAATACTTAAGGACCTCCGCACCACCCAGCGAGTCGCCCTGACGGCGGTCGCCGGCTCGCTGCACTTCTGGGGGAATCTCTGGTGGTTGGGAGTTGGGAGATGGGAGAGAAGCTCAACGCGAAGGGCTCAGCCTCCCGGCAAAATAACTCCTGCGGGACTCGCGGCACAGGAGTCATTTCCAGGAGGCCACCGACATCTACAAGCGACTGTTGGTGGAGGAGCATCGGGTCGGACGACGGGGGCCAGAAGTGAGGTGTGAACAGGGTGGTGAACAGCCGGTGGCCCTGAAACGAGGCCCACAGGGCTCCTCTTGCTTCCCGGAAGTAGGGAGCAAAAAGGATGGTAGAAGATGGTAGAAGGTGCTAATTGCGGTACTTGTCCATGTTCTATCATGATTCTCTTCCATCGAAGAGCACCAAATCAGGCTTTCCCGGAATCCGTCGCCGAAGACCTGGGCCTTGTATGGCCATTTTGTCATGGCATTCCTCAGGAGAGGGAGGACTGGGCTTTAAATGTCAAGCCGGCCAGGTTGTGCGCTGTTCGACTCTCGTTGGCCCTGGATCTCCTCGTGGTTTTGCCCTGGGTCCTTTCAAGTAGTCTGAGAGAAGGTGCCAAGTGAGTCCTCAGAACGTGGTCCCAGATCCCGACAAAAAAGGTGGGACTGAGGGGTCCACCCATGCCGCCAAGCATGCATCTTTGGGGTCCGGGTGCACCTCCATGCATGCACCTCTTGCAAAAGATTTCTCCTGCAAGTTGCAACCTCGGATGTCAATTACGACCTCCCAGAAGCCATCTTTCAGGAATTCAGGCCAGGAGATATTTAGCGATACAATCATGTACAATCAAGCAGACCTGCTTGGAGTTGTATGACTTAACCTGAACCTTCAATCATAGCACTTTTTTCTGGCGAACCAAGGAAATGAGCACTTTTTTGAGTTTCGTAGCGTTTTTTGATGAAACGAGCACTTTTGAATGAGTTTTAATGAAACGAGCATTTTTTCAAAATGTTGAACACTGAAGTCTTCTTGGGCCAAAGGTGGAAACTTGCAAAATGCGCGCAAAATGCCGCAAAACCGCGCGCAAATTGCCACAAACCGAGCGCAAATTAAAAAGTGGCGAACCACCCCAACATGGGTTGGATATGAGAGGGGCCCACGTGCGATTTTTGAGTGTTTGTAGCGCTTTTTGCTTGAACGAGCACTTTTGCAAAACGAGCGCTTTTTTTGGTAGCGAAGGAAGGTTCAGGAAGAATTCTTAAAAGAATATCTCCCTAGGATTCACACCCGCCAAATTAAATTCTCATTGATGCACGCATGCCAGGTTTACATTGCTTTGTGCTATTACAAGCTGGACTACTATGACGTGGCCCTCGAGATTCTCCAGACGTGCCCAGATGTGGGTGGTTGTGTCATGGCGATGTCGTCGCGGTTCGAAAGGCATGAATCGCTCGACGCAAACGTCCAAAACAGGGGCGCCAATGACGGCCGCCAGAGGTCTTTTTCGTTGTCCAATGATGGACCCATGCTGGGTTGAATGTTAGGGATTGTTTTGACATCACCTTTTTCCACCACGATTTCTGTGGTCTGGGCAGATCGAGACAACTCTATAGGTTTCCTTTCGTAGAGACCATGGCCATGACCACTGTGGCCATGACTGCTGTTTGATTCCACATGCCGTGCTCTTAAAGAGAAAGCAGAAGGAGCCTGTGTTGCCCCAAAAGGGCGGCAACCCTGCACTGTCTTTCAGACTTTTTCAGGTACTTGAGCCAATATCCTCAATCCATCACCGCAGTGAACCTGAAGGCGACCGCGGCGTGAGTAGATTGACCAACGTATGAAGAAGAACAGCTCGTGTTTATTCGTCGCGGTTCGCGATTGGCTTCTAGTTATAGAGATGACAAGTCCGCAAGTCTTGATATAGCATGATATGATCTAGCTCTTCGAGACATGGGTTCTTTGGAAGCTGCTTTGGTACTTCAATCCTTCTGATTCTTCTCACAAAGCAACCCGAGGATCCGATCCCGAGACTGAAGGGACGGCCTGCAGGCCTGCAGTCACTACCAGCTCTACAACGGGAAAGCAGCTGAGGCTGAATTGAAGGCACGGCGCTCGTTTGGAACG